GGATAATGCCTCCTCAATATTACCTTGTAATTCAATTGTCAGTAGGAATATTATAGAATGCAGCCTCATTAAACATACTGAATTCGTCAACATGAATTTGAGTAATGGTATGTACTAACTGGATAATTATGTAATTAAGAAGATTTGTAACCAGGTGAGAAGGTTGGGTCATCTTACCCTATGACCTGACTACGGACAGCTGCTTTGCTTATGAAGATCAGTAGGGTCGCTGCCTAATGACCAGACCATTGTGGGCACCTACGGTCCCCTAGGGACTTAATATACACAGGTTGACAACCCTTTATCCGAAATTCAAAACCAGAATTTCTGAAAACTATATATATATATATATATATATATATATATATATATATATATCGATTAGCCCACCAGCATAGATCACTGACCCACATGAGACCTGGGGCGAAAATGTAAAATAATAATAATTATTCATAGTAAAATAAAATTTTAATAAAAATACACAAAAATAAAATAATAATAATAAAATATAATAATAGATTTAATAATAATATAATATAATAATAGATTTATTAATAATAACAATATTATCTGAATAATAAAATAATAATAATAAAGAAATACAAGAATGAAAAAAGATCAAAAGTGAGAAACACGACCTAGACCTATGAATTATTATTATTATTATTATTATTATTATTATTATTATTATTATTATTATTATTATTATTATTATTATTATTATTATTATTATTATTATTATTATAATACTTTTATTATATTTTCACCCCAGGCCCTAATGTGGGTCAGTGATCTATGTCCGGTGGGAGAAGTTCCTGAAAGCCTAACATTAAGTGAAATTATCGCTAAATGGGGGATAACAAGGAATAATATCCGAGAGATAACATATTTCTATTGCTACCATGTAATAAAACTATAAAGGTTGGGAATAATCATCACAATACTCTAATGTGAATAAAATAAATAAATAAATAAATATATCCACATTTTCATGGTGGATCTACATGAAATATATATATATATATATATATATATATATATATATATATATATATATATATATATATATATATATATATATATATATATATGTATATATATATATATATATATGTATATATATATATATATGTATATATATATGTATGTATATATATATACAGTGACCCCTCGTTTAACGAACACCTCGGTTAACGTAATTTCGATTAACGAACTGCCTTCCATAAGGATCTTCAATTCGGTTAACGAAAAAAAATTCGCTTAACGAACTTCTTACGAACCGACCTCAACATGTTTTCGCTTGCACTGACCGGGCAACCAGCTTTAGTATCAGTCCGCCAATACATTAATCGGTTCTAGGGCTTAAATTCCTTACTATTTTTGTAAATATCAAGAAGTTTATACTATTCAATAATTTTAAAAGTTTAATATTCAATTTTTTAGTCATTTTAACAATTATTGAACAAAATTGAAGGTAAAGTGACTAGTTTAATGCGCGGCATCCAGCCTCTTAACACAGCAAACAGGCGCCAGTCTCTCTCTGTTTTCACTGGAGGAAACATCTTGCTTGAGACTCTCTTCAACTAAATGCTTTTTTTCTGTGTTTCCAAGCAAATTATTGGTCATTTTGAAATATATTTTATATATTGACAATATATAATGCAGTTCAGCGTTGATTTAAAGAAAATAATCTTGAATAAACCAGAGAGCTAAAATTTTATGGGTGAAATGGCACCATGGGTTGACTTCTCTTCCACCCCAATGCCTTCTCTTCTTCCTTCTCCTCCACCCCCATTCTAAATCCCATCATCATCATCATCATCCAGGAGCCTTCTACATACACACCTCAAAGTAAGTGAACTTTTCTACCATTTTTGTTGAATTTAGGAAATTTTCGGTGAGCTGGAACCAATTACCCAAAAACCCATTGAAACAATGGTTTTGGGTTAACGAGCGTTTAGGTTAACGAGCAACCGGGGAAGCAGTTGAGTTAGATTAACGAGGGCCACTGTATATATATATATATATTGTAATATATATATATATATTGTAATTAAGAAGATTTGTAACCAGGTGAGAAGGTCGGGCCACCTGACCATCTGACCTGACCACCAACCATTGTGTGCTATTTAAAGATTAGTAGGGTCATTACCTAATACCTGACCATTGTGGACCTGGTCTCACCCTCCTCTGTATATATACACCTTGTTTTGTACTTCTCTTTAGTCTGTACTCACCCCTGAAGATGTGAATTACACAAAAGCGCTTGGGAACTTCGTGTTTTCTTCTTTCCTTGTGGTTATCAGCATATATATATACAGTATATATATATATATATACAGTATTACCCCGCTTTATGCGGTTTCACTTTCCGCGATTTCTCATTTACACGGTACCTTGCCAGAACCAGACTTTCACTTTCCGCGTTGCATCTACTCATATACGCGGTGAAGTATAATTTTTTTTTTTTATCGTAAAATTCATATAAATTACCCGGCCAGAATATAATTTACATTGCTGGAATTCTTACAATATGATGATCATTTTGAATATAAACATCATGGATTTTGCATTAGACATACAAATTTTAGATCTAATGTAATAATTTGGTTTCCACAAAGCAAGTATTTTATCTTTTGTGCAAAATATATGACGTTTACATTCAAAATATTCCCTGACCTGCAAGGAATCCAGAAATGTCAATTATATTATCCTAACTTTAGTCTGAGGTATTATTTATTACTAATCGTTAAAATTAGTTTTTTCACCGAACATTTCTCTGGTAGGGAGGGAAGGTGGGGGGTGGGGGGAGGGAGGGACCGACCGACCATCTGGCGCGGTTGGAAGAGGGGGGAGGCAAGGTGGGGTACTTTGATTGACAGATAGTGTCGTGAAGAATATTTTTTTTTTATTAACTGAAGATATTTGTTTTAGCTCATAAAATTCATACAAATTACTGGACCAGAATATATTTTACATTGCTGGAATTCTTACAATATGATGATCATTTTGAATATAAACATCATGGCTTTTGCATTAGACATACAAATTTTAGATCTAATGTAATAATTTGGTTTACACAAAGCAAATATTTTATCTTTTGTGCAAAATATATGATGTTTACATTCAAAATATTCCCTGACCTGCAAGGAATCCAGAAATGTCAATTATATTATCCTAACTTTAGTCTGAGGTATTATTTATTACTAAACGTTAAAATCTAGTGTTTCACTCAATCATTTCTCAGAGAGGTAGGGGCCAGTGAGCTGGGAAGAGGGGGGGGGGATTTGAGTCCATTATTTGAATGGACATTAACCTGGCGACTGCATTTCTCTTAAATATTAATTGTGTGAGCATACCATCATAAAATTTAGATGTTATTTTTACTACAACATAGGTATTGTGTCGGAAAAAGTGGAGTTTGGGGTAATCTCTATTGGAATTAATCCCATATGTTCTGTTGTTCACTTTACGCGGTTTTCAGTTTTCACTTTCCGCGGTACCCTGTGGGTTCAATTGGCCGCGTAAATAGGGGTACTACTGTATATATACAGCTAGACCCCGATTTACGACGGGGTTAGGTACCCAAATCCAGGTCGTAAGTCCGAATGGTCGTAAGTCCGTCATAGATAAAAAAATAAAATAAATAAATTAATAAAAAATCTACAATGAAATACAGTACAGTGAAAGTAATAAATAATGAGGAATGGATACAGTGTGACTGAGCACTTACCTTTAATGTAGTCAGCCGAATGCACATGGGTCCCCCATAATTTTCTAATTATACATGGAGACTACATTAACTGGAAACGTTTCAGTATAGAAAATGCGTGTGTCATTTGAAAAAAAAAATGATTATTTTTTTTTTTTATCTATGTCGTAAGTCCCGACGGTCGTAAGTCGAAGCAGTCGTAAGTCGGGGTCTAGCTGTATATATATTTCATGTAGATCCACAATGAAAATGTGGATATATTTATTTATTTATTTATTTATTTATTTATTTATTTATTTTTAATTCACATTACTGTAGAGTACAGTGACCCCTCGTTTAACGAACACCTCGGTTAACGTAATTTCGATTAACGAACTGCCTTCCATAAGGATCTTCAATTCAGTTAACGAAAAAAAATCGGTTAACGAAGTTCTTACGAACCGACCTCAACATGTTTTCGCTTGCACTGACCGGGCAACCAGCTTTAGTATCAGTCTGCCAATACATTGATCGGTTCTAGGGAAGTGAATTGTTTGTGGGGGGCAGGGCAGTTGGATGATGGACTGAGTTTCCCCCCTCTCTCCCTGAGCCTCCCCGACCTCGTTAATACAATATTATGCAATTTTACCATATTTCCCTCATTATTTAGGTTTATTCGGTACTAGTTTATTGAAATGTTACCTTAAAGTAATAAATAAAAAAACAAAAATCTCACATTCGGACCTAGATGAGTTACTGTGTGTTATTAAATTCCTGGTTCTTTGTTTTGATAGTGTGGTTGCAGCCAACCCAGCACCTGACTGTCTTCTTGTTGTTTTATTGGCGTAACCCATATGAAATTATGAAAAGGAAATTAGCTATTTGTGTAATGTCGAATTAATTTTTTACAATATCTACCTATGTTACTGTTTGTTTTATGTATACAGTACAGTATTATTTAATTTTATGTACAATGTTTAGTGTTTATTAAAGCTCTTTTGGAACAGCATTTGGGCATTTCTTGGTTGGAATATCAGGCATACAATATTTGGTTACAGACTTAAAAAATTTCAATTTACAAAACAGAGAGTAATCCTAAAGCCTCAAAATAAGATTGTGTGTGAGAGGAGTATTTCAATGAGAGTGTAAAGATGTGCCCTTGTTATGAAGTTTGGGGGCTTCTCTTGAACTGTTGTAGACCTTTTTATGAAGCAAAGTGGCAGGTTATTTAGTTATAGGGAGTAGAGAGAATGTCTGTTTATTGAACTTAACATTAGTCATACACAATATGATATTATTTCTTTTACAGAAATCTATTGAATACCTCTTGCCCTCTGGATTATATGAACCGCTTGCTCGCCCAGTGATGAAGCATCCCAGTGAAATTTTTGCAAAGAAAAAAGCTGCAGAATTTGATGATAGTGGGCGCCCATTCCATACCCTCTTTTACACAGGCATACCAAGTTACTACCAAGTTTTGCATGTAAGTATAGTATATCCCTATTATAACTAAGCAATAAAGTACAGGGGGCCCCCCAAGTTTGCAAATTTTTATTTTGAGGTCCTATATTATTCACAGATGGCACCCTGGATGTATCCAAGAATGTCTGTGGGTAGTTTTAAAGTTGCCGGCATTTTTGCGGCTGGGACAGGGAGCCATTCATTCTAGAGACAGTATTATCCTTTACCTGTATGTATATATATATATATATGCTGTATATATATATATATATATACATATATATATATATATATATATATATATATATATATATATATATATATATATATATATATATATATATATATATATATATATATATATATATATATATATATATATATATATATATATATATATATATATATATATATATATATATATATATATATATATATATATATATATATATATATATATATATATATATATATATATATATATATATATATATAATATATATATATATATATATATGCTGATAACTACAAGGAAAGAAGAAAACACGAAGTTCCCAAGCGCTTTCGTGTAATTCACATCTTCAGGGGTGAGTACAGACTAAGGAGAAGTACAAAACAAGGTGTATATATACAGAGGAGGGTGAGATCAGGTCCACAATGGTCAGGTATTAGGTAATGACCCTACTAATCTTTAAATAGCACCGCAACGGTCGGTAGTCAGGTCAGAGGGTAAGGTGACCCAACCTTCTCACCTGGTTACAAATCTTCTTAATTACAAAATTGTCCAGTTTGTACATGCCATTACTCAAATTCATGTTGAATGCTTTGGTATGTTCAATGAGACTAGATTCTATGATGTTCCTACTATCAATTGAATTACAAGGTAACATTGAGAAGGCATTATCCCAGTCAATGCAATGCTTGTTATCCCTCAAATGAACAAACAGAGCATTGGATTCCTGGCCTGTCCTAACACTATATTTATGTTGCTTAAGTCTAGTTGCAAGATCTTTACCTGTCTGGCCTAAGTAAAACATATTACATTCCTTGCAAGGAACTTTATAAATGCAACCAATTGTGTTGTTGGGGGAGTTCTTGATTAACATTTGTTTAACAGTGCATGAGTTTTTAAATGCCACATTGACGTTCCAGGTTTTTAGTTGTAAAGGAATGTGTGATAAATTTTTGTGAAATGGTAATATTAAGATATTCTTATGGTCATGGGTGGCCTTGGGATCAGTTCTATAAAAAGTTTTCTTAGTAATGTTTAGGCATTTGTCTATGAAAGATCTAGGGTATTTAAGGTTTGAGCCAATATTATAGATATATTTATATTCGTCATCAATGAATTCCAGACTGCAAATTCTCAAAGCACGTAAAAACATTGTTGAAAATACTGACTGTTTGACTCTATTATGGTGGGCAGAATAATAATGAATGTATGAACACACATTAGTAGGTTTTCTATAAATACTGAACTTAAAAGTGTTACCTATTCTGTGTATCAGACAGTCTAGGAATGGCAATTTACAGTCTTGCTCTAATTCCACAATGAATTTGATCGAGGGGGCTAAGTTGTTAAGTTGTGGCAGGAAAGCTTTTAGGTCCTCATTACATGGCCAGAGACATAATACATCATCAATATATCTAAACCAGACTGCTGAAGGTGATAAAATATTACTTAATAGTTTCTTTTCAAATAATTCCATATATAGGTTGCTTAATACAAGTGAGAGTGGATTACCCATTGCCATACCAAACTTTTGAGCATAATATTCTCCATTGAATTCAAATTTACAATCCTTAATACATAGTTTGATGAGTTCGATGAAGTCGTCTTTCGAGACGGGCAATGAAATATTATCCAGGGAATCTATGAGGAACTCTAGTAAATCATCAACTGGGACCTTTGTAAAGAATGATGTAACATCAAAACTGACCAGTTTAAAATCATAATTAATGTGTAAGTTGTTGAGTTTATCAGCCAAATCCATATTATTCTTGATATTAGAGTTAGAAATGTTGCCAATTAATGTGTAAGTTATTGAGTTTATCAGCCAAATCCATATTATTCTTGATATTAGAGTTAGAAATGTTGCCAACTAGGGGATTAGTAAAGAAACTAACCATTTAGATAGTTTATATGAGATTGACCCAACTGAGCAAATGATGGGTCTTGCTGGGTTGTTAGGCTTGTGGGTCTTGATTACACCGTATATGTATGGCAGTGGAGGGGACGTTGAAGTAAGATGTTTAATGAGAGTAGCTTTGCCTCTCAATAGACACTTCAGTTTTTTGTTGAACTGGGTGTTAACTGTGTTGAGAGGATTATTTATGAGTTTAGAATACTCGTATGTTGTAATATCACATAAAAGGTCATTCATTTTAGAGATAAAATCATCATTGTTTAAAATCACTACTGTGTTGGCTTTATCTGCTTTAGTGACATGTAGATCCTTATTTTTCTTTAGGGCTTGGGTTGCTTTGGTGAATCTTTCTGGACAGTTTGGAATACAAGGCTTAGACATAAATGCATACACAACACCTTTACACACGTTCACTTCTTCACTTGTCAAATTACTGAATTTCTCCAAATTGCAAAATGCTCTGGCTATGTCAACACTGTTGACTCCCTTCTTAGAGCCATCAAAACTTAAACCATAGCCGAGGGCACACAAGGTATCATTGTCTAGTTGTTTAGAGGAGAGATTCACTATACAGTATGATTGGCATCCTTAGTCCAAACACTATTTCTAATAAGGAGTGCCAATTTGTGTTCATAAAATTCATACAAATTACACGACCAGAATATAATTTACATTGCTGGAATTCTTACAATATGATGATCATTTTGAATATAAACATCATGGATTTTACATTAGACATACAAATTTTAGATCTAAAGTAATAATTTGGTTTACACAAAGCAAATATTTTATCTGTGCAAAATATATAAAGTTTACATTCAAAATATAACCTGACCTGCAAGGAATCCAGAAATGTCAATTATATTATCCTAACTTTAGTCTGAGGTATTATTTATTACTAAACGTTAAAATCTAGTGTTTTCACCCAAACATTAATCAGAGAAGTAGGAGCTAGTGAGCTGGGAAGAAGGGGGGGTGTTTGAGTCCATTATTTGAATGGACATTAACCTGGCGACTGTATTTCTCTTAAATATTAATTGTGTGAGCATACCATCATAAAATTTAGATGTTATTTTTACTACAACATAGGTATTGTGTCGGAAAAAGTGGAGTTTGGGGGTCGGGCCAGTCTCTATTGGAATTAATCCCATATGTTCTGTTGTTCACTTTACGTGGTTTTCACTTTCCGCAGTACCCTGTGGGTTCAATTGACCGTGTAAATCGGGGTACTACTGTGTGTGTGTGTGTGTGTATATATATATATATATATATATATATATATATATATATATATATATACATTCACACAGTTGTGCCCCACTTACTGGGGTCAATAGAACAGAGGGTCCCGTGTTAAGTGAAATCTGTTAGTGAACAACAGAACATAAGCCAGATTAATCTAGCCAGCCCGAACCCCAACCTCACACAACACTTCTTATGTTGTTAAATAAAACACAATCTTATGATGAATACATAAACAATTATATAAGAGAAATAGAAAATCAGTCGCCAAGTTAATGTCCATTCAAATAATGAACTCCCTCTCTCTTCTCACACTACACTCGCTGGCTCTTCCCTCTGAAATTTGGAAAACCAGGTATAGTAATAAATAATTCCTCAAACTAAAGTTAGGATAATATAATTGACATTGCTGGTTCCTTGTCTTGAAGACCAGGAATATTTTGAATACAAATGTCATATATTTTTCAGAAAAGATAACATATTTACTCAGAATAAACTTTACATCTAAAATTTGTATGTCTAATGCAAAATCTAGTGTTTATATTCAAAATTCTGTTTGATGAATTTATGAGCTAAACTCTTCAGTTAATAAAAAAAAAATTATTCTTCACATTGCACTATCTGTCAATCAAAGTACCCCACCTTGCTTCCTACCCTCTTCCAACCTCTAGGTCAGTCCCAACCCTCCCCCACCAATCCTCCTTCAAGAGTTTTTAACATTTAGTATTAAATAATACCTCAGATTAAAGTTAGGATAATATAATTGACATTGCTGGATTCCTTGTAAGACCAGGAATATTTTGATATAAATGTCATATATTTTTCACAAAAGATAATTATATTTACTCAGAATAAACTTTCATCTAAAATTTGTATGTCTAATGCAAAATCTATGATGTTTATATTCAAAATGATGATCACCAATTATAAGAATTCCAGCAATGTAAATTATATTCTGACCGGTAATTTGTATGAATTTTATGAGTCAAAACAAATATCTTCTGATTATAAAAAAAATATATTCTTCACTGTAATAGATGGTCGGTCGGTCCTCCTCCCCCCACCCCCCACCAACCGTCTCACCAGATCTGTGGGAAAACCAGAATATTTACCTTTTAGTAATAAATAATACACCTCAAACTAAGTTAGGATAATATAATTGACATTGCTGGATTCCTTGTAAACCAGGAATATTTTGAATATAAATGTCATATATTTTCTAAAGATAATATATTTACTCAGAATAAACTTTACATCTAAAATTTGTATGTCTAATGCAAAATCTATGATGTTTATATTCAAAATGATCACATTATAAAATTCCAGCAATGTAAATTATATTCTGGTTGGGTAATTTGTATGAATTTTATGAGCTAAAACAGGCAGTCAGGCAGGGTGGCAGGTGGGGGTGGGGCGAATCTAAAAATAGCTCTTGGGCGGGACACTCACCGTATATGTGAAAAACCCGCTTATGAAAGTTCATCTGTAAAGGCACGTATAGTTAAAAGCAGCTAAAGTGAAACAGCGTTAGCGGGAATATACTGATATATATATATATATATATATATATATATATATATATATATATATATATATATATATATATATATATATATATATATATATATATATA